CAGGTCTTAAAGGCGTATGTCTCCAATACTGGCTGTATCCCTGAACACACAGAAATCTACCTAGCTTATCTAACCACCACGCTCTTACTATGGCTCTAATAGCTCTGACACCAAGGCAACTTTATTTATTAACATAAAATTAAAATAACATTTCAGTACAAATAAAATATCACCACATAGTAGTAAGGGTTAAATGTGGGAATAGAGTCCAGGAGGAGCTGGGAGAAGGTGAGTATGCTTGGAATGTATTGTGTGCTTGTATGAAATTCTCAAAGAATAAATTACAAATTTAAAAAAAGCAGTAGCATTTTTATTTTTAAAAAATCCTGAAATTTGACATGAAAGATGCAGTTATAAAAAAATTAATTTGGTGCCTGGGAATGTGGCTTAGAAGTAGGCTGCTTAAGCTGGGTGGTGGTGGTGCACGCCTTTAGTCCTACCACTTGGGGAGGCAGAGACCATTGGATCTCTATGAGTTCAAGGCCAGCCTAGTCTACAGAGTGAGTTTTAGGACATCCAGGGCTGTAACACAGAGAAACCCTGTTTCAAACCATCCTCCCCTCCACCCCAAAAAGTAGGCTTTTTAACTGGCATGCATAGTAGCCACATTGTTATTTTAATTAATATTTTCATTTAGGGTTCTTTTCCAGATTGGTAGCACTCACATGTTACAAAATGAAGAAGACACAGAAAGTTGTACAATTAGGTGTTTTTGCCAATGAAGCAAATGTGCCTTTCTTATTCCAACACCTAGTTGCTTTTCTCAGAAGGAAGCTAAGGGACGCTTATTTATTTATTTATTTATTTATTTATTTATTTATTTATTTATTTATTTATTGTTTTTGCATCCCAATCAAAAGTTTCCCCTCCTTCCCTTCTTCACAGTCCCCTGCTCCCACTTCTCCTCCACTATTTCTCTTCAGATGGAGGCAGGCCTCCCAAGGCTCTCAGCCAGCCATGGTATATCAAGTTGTAGTGAGCTAGGTGCCTCCTCCTCTATTAAGGCTGATGAGGCAATCTGGTAGGAGGAATGGGTCCCAAAAGCTGGCAACTCAGTCAGAGACAGCCTCTGTTCTCACTGTTAGGAGTCTCACATGAAGACTATTAAGTTATACAACTGGAACATATATGTGGAGGACCTAAGTCAGCCCTGGTTGTCAGTTCAGGCTCCCTGGTTGTCAGTTCAGTCTCTGTGAGCCTCTGTGAGCCCAGGTCAGTTGATTCTGTGTGTTTGCTTGTGTTCTTGATACCAAAGGTCCTACAGTCCTTTCAACCCCTCTTGTGTAGGAATCCCCTAGATCTGCCTAATGTTTGGCTGTGGGTCTGCATCTGTTTCCATCAGTTGCTGGATGAAGCCTCTCTGATGACAGTTGGGCTAGGCACAGTTTCTCTGGGTTTGTGAGTTGTAGTATGTTTCTTCTTATAGCTGATATTCACTTATGAGCTAAGAGACCCTTTTAATGTTATTTTTTTTTCTGATTAAAACAGATTGAAGATCTCAAACAGACAAATCATGACTTGGAAGAATATGTTAGGAAACTCTTGGATAGTAAGGAGGTGGTAAGCAGTCAAGTAGACGATTTAACCAACCACAATGAGCATCTTTGTAAAGAATTGATAAAAATTGATCAACTAGCAGAGCAATTAGAAAAAGAGAAAAATTTTGTGGTGGACACTGCCGACAAGGAACTTGAAGAAGCAAAGGTACTAAATTTACCATTGATAGTATTTCAATTGTACTTTTAAGCATGTGATTATGAAATTAAGTTGGAAAAGTGAAATTTTCATATCATTTGGAAGCTTTTTAGTTTGGCATATTTTAAGTCTGTTGTAAGGATTAAATTGTATTTTTCTCACACTTCATTTCATTACAATTTTTTGTTCATATTTTCCCCTAAGTTTTATCAGCCTATTATGAAAATTTCAAAGCAACACAAATAGTCTGTGGATACAAAATTGCTCTGCTTCCCCCATTCTTCTCTGTATATATCTGTAAACAAATAAAATCCCTACCCTTTTTAGAAAGGGTCTTGCTCTCCAGCCCAGGCTTATCTTGAATTGTGGTTCTTCTTGCTCAGTGTTCTGAGTACAGAATTACAGGTGTCATGCCTGACTCTATAGTTTTACAAACAATGGTTTATCTTCTACTTTGTACCAAAATGAGAAACTTTTTATGTTGTTAAATTTGTTCATCCTGGTTGACATGAGAGTTTTGGTTCTTGTTTAGGAAGATGTTCTTACATCAAGAGCTATAAACATATCTTCTGAAGTTTGCCTTTATATTTTTCAACACATACAGTTTATTACTTTCATTTGAGGACACTTATCTGTAAGTAATTTCCTGGAGAAGGCCCTTAGAACTTCCTGTGAAAGTAGATAGAGTGGCTTGTTTTCAGCTTGTAATAATTTACCTTCACATGGTTGCTACAAAAGTATTTAAAGGGCACTTCAAAGTAGCTTGTATGTCTTCAGTATTTCTCAATAAATGTGTCAGTTCACTTTAACCTTTCATGCATGGTTTAGTGGTTAGTTGAGTACAGTCTTCATCTTGGCTATGAAAACTGTCAAATTGAAGAGTTTTACTGTCCTTCTCTCTTCATATTAAAAATTAACTCTCTCCTTCCCAGACTGAAGAGGAAACATGATTGGCTGAATTCCAGCTCTTGAGTGTGTCCTTTGTAGACAGTATCTATTTTCAAGATTTGTTTAAGGGCCTATTGACCAGATTGGAATAGGGAGTAGGTAGGTGTCAGGGTGAATTCTCTGGTATTAAAAGGAAGAACTCCAGGGATGGAAAGCATCTGAATTATATGAGCTAGGTTTTACCTAAAAACAAAAATACTAAATTCATAGGTTGAAATTTTGCTTGGCTCAGAAAAGCATATTTCTAGAAAAAATGATATTCATATATGATGTGGAATGTCTGCTACACTGGAGAATTGGAAAGCTATTTGAGCTTTTGAGGATGAGGTTGGCAGCATCTTTGGGATACCATTGTTGGAAAGGAAACCTGGGAACCATCGTAAATCAAGGACAAAAGAGGAATGGTTGCTTAGGATTGGTGCCTTGAAATAAGGAAAGCAGCAACTTTAGTGATGTTGTAGGGCAGAAAGGGCAAGACCAATTTGGAGATGTGGACACCAACTCGTGTTTTCAAAATCCTTTGCATTAGGTGTGCATTGTAGGTTTATAATTATCAGTGATACATTTCTTGTATAACTTTTGGGATAGAACTTGAAATAGTTTCTAATTTGATTGCTGAAAAAGAATGCTTGTGAGCTGGGTAATGGGGGCACACGCCTTTAATCCCAGCACTCGGAGGCAGAGATAGGCAGATCTCTGTATGTTTGAGGCCAGCCTGGTCTACAGAGAGAGTTCCAGAATAGGCCCCCAAAACTACAGAGAAGCCCTGTTAAAAAACAAACAAAACAAAACAAAGCAAAACAAAAATGATTGTGTTCTTACAGTATTTTGACATATTCTAAATATGTAGAAGTAGAGTCTGAGGCTAAAGATAGTATTAAATTTATTTACTGAGAAGAATTTACTTTTGGTTAGTCATTTTTAATATTCATAAAGTAACATCTTTTATTAAACTGTTTTTGAGTATTTACTATTGTGTTTTTTTATTTTTTTATTTTTTTTAATTTTTTTTATTTTTTTTTTTTTTGGTTTTTCGAGACAGGGTTTCTCTGTGTAGCTTTGCGCCTTTCCTGGAACTCACTTGGTAGCCCAGGCTGGCCTCGAACTCACAGAGATCCGCCTGCCTCTGCCTCCCGAGTGCTGGGATTAAAGGCGTGCGCCACCGCCGCCCGGCTGTTTTTTTATTTTTTTAAAGATTTATTTATTTATTTATTATACAGTGTAATGTCTGCATGTATTCTTGCAGGCCAGAAGAGGGCACCAGATCTCACATGGTTGTGAGCCACCATGTGGTTGCTGGGAATTGAACTCAGATCCTCTGGAAGAACAGCCAGTGTTCTTAACCGCTGAGCCATCTCTCCAGTGTTTTTTTATTTTTATGTAACAAGTTACTCTTGAAGCCGAGTGATTTCAAACAACAAACTCTGACTTACATTTCAGATTAGGGAGTGGTTCTGGTTCAGTTTCTCAGGAAAATGAAATAAAAGTGATAGTCAGATTGCAGTCATACCTTGATACTAGAACAATTGCTTCTAAGATGGCTTCCTACAGATAGAGACTGACTGTCAGCAGAAGTCTTCAGTGCAATGCCAGGTTGACCACATTCTAGATGACAGTTGCCCTCTACTCTCTGAGCCAGTGATTTGGGAGTCGTAACAAATTAGAATCTTGCAATGTGTATTATAAGCTAATCCAAGCTATATTCCAGCATTTCCACCATCTCTGCTTTTTAAAATGACTCACTAAGCCAGGCATGGTGGCACATACCTGTCATTTTAGCTCTGGAGGGGCTAAGACAAGAAGATTGTGAGTTCATGGCAGGACAGGATTGCATAGAAAGACTGTCTGGAGGAAAAACAAAGGGACTATTATATAGAACTCACACTCAAGGAGTGGTCTGCATCTTCTAAAGCAGGCAGTATTAGAGTTGGAGCACATATTAAATTGGCAACTTTTGCCTTTGTTTGTCTTCACATCTCCAGTTACCATTTGTGCTTTAATACAGTATTTTCCAGACAGTTGGATATGATTTTCTGTAATGTGAAGAGCAGAATTGCAATTTTACTATTGTTAGTTTCTTAGACCATATATGTTAGTTTATATATATCTTTTTGAAACACAACTCATCAGTAGTAATGTTAAGGAAAAGTAACCTAAACCATAACTCACTAGCTATTATGCTAAGTGATATTTGCAATTAAATACAACTAAATTATGACTTTAATTAAAAGACATTTTCTAAGATGGCACCCGCATGTTTAAAATTTAATACATTCTATATGAGATATTGGAGTTATTTAACATAGGAGCTCCTTTCTGCAGCATGTGCACTCTTAATTTTATTTTACAATTATTTATTTTATAAGTATTTTGCCTGCGTATATGTATGTACCACATATGTACCACCCAGTGCCTGCTGAGTACAGAAGAGGGTATCAAATCTCCAGGAATTGGAATTAAGTATGGCTGTGAACCACTATGGAGGTGCTGAGACCTGAATCCAGGTCATTTGCAAGAGCAGTGGATGCTGTTAACCCCTGACCCATCATCTCTCAAGCCTCAGCATGTGTACTTTAAAATTTTTTAGTTTATTTTAGAATACCATATATGTGTACTATATTTATATCATTTCCCCCTTCCTTTTCCTCCCTCCAACTCTTTTCATATGTCTGTCTCTCCATCCGACTCCCTTTCAAACTCATGTCCTCTTTTTATTTAATTAGTAGTCTTACATATACACATACACACATACAGGAATAAATATATAACTTACTGAGTCCATTTAGTGTTGCTTGTTTATGTATATCAGGGCTGAACATTTGGTATTAGATAACCAATTAGGAGGCTCCTCTCTGGGGGAAACTGATTTTCCCTAATTGACATGAGACCATTATTGAACTAGATCTCTGATATCCCTTTCATTATTATTACCTTTGTATATGATTCAATCAGCCAAGATAGTTGAATCTACTATATAGAAAACATGTAAAACTTAATATTAAGTTTGTAAAATCCTTTTGGATATATGGATATCCTTATTCTGCTTTTTAAGAAATATATTTTAAAACTATTTATTTTATTTCATGTATATGAGTGTTTTGCCTGAATGTATGTCTGTGTATCATGTGTGTTCCTTATACATATGGAGGCTAGAACAAGGCATCAGATCCCCTGGAACTGGAGTTACTGATGGTTATGAGCCATCATGTGGGTGCAGGAAATTGAAACCCTATAAGAGCAAAACATGCTCTTAACTGCTGAGCAATCTCTCCAGCCCCTTGCCTTATTTTTTGAGGTAGCTCTTTTCACACTGTCCTTCCTCCTCTCCTCTGCCTCAGCAACACTGGCCACCTTACCGGTCCTGGGAACTAGCTAGTTATTCTTTTGAGCTTGGACATTTGCTGTAACAGTACTTTCTTCCTGGATATTCACACAGATTTTCCTGGGCCCTCTTCAAACCTTGCTCAAAGGATGCCTTTCCATGGAGATTCCCTGATAGCTCTGTTTCAAATTTCAGTCTTGTTTTCCATAAATGCAGTACGCTTAGCTCTGCTTTTCTTTGTCAGTATAGTATACAACTTGTTATTTAACTAACTTATTTTAACTTAAGAAAAAAGCATCTGTCGTAGCCACTTTTGCCTGTCTTAGTTCTATTGCTGCGAAAAGACACCATGACCAAGGCAACTGTTAGAAAACAAAGTGTTTAACTGGGTTCTTGCTTACAGTTTCAGTGGCTTAGTCCATTATCGTCATGATGGGGAGCATTTGAGAGCTACATTTTGATGTGCAGAAGGAGGGGAGAGGGGAGACTGACTGGGTATGGAATGGGCTTTTGAAACCTCAAAGCTCTCCCTCAGTGACACACTTGTTCCAACAAGGCCGCATCTCCTAATGTTTTCCAACAGTTCCTCTCCCTGGTGACTGAGCATTCAAATATATGAGCCTGTAGGATCCATTCTTACTCCACCATGATCGTCTCTCCTAGCTGCAATGTTATGCCCCTAAAGACAAAAATCTTAGCTGGGCAATGGTGGCGCACGCCTTTAATCCCAGCACTCGGGAGGCAGAGCCAGGTGGATCTCTGTGAGTTCGAGGCCAGCCTGGGCTACCAAGTGAATTCCAGGAAAGGCGCAAAGCTACACAGAGAAACCCTGTCTCGAAAAAACCAAAAAAACCAAAAAACAAAAAACAAAAACAAAAACAAAAAAACAGAAATCTTTACCTGTTATGTTCACTTAAAGAAAAAAATCTCAAGGGCCTTAGAATTCGAGTGGTTATTGTGTATTTTTTGAGTGTCATATTTGATATATATTTTGACTATTTTCTTTTCTTTCTCTTTTTGACTAGATTGTAAACTCTCCAGGGCAGAAATTTGTGTTTTGTTGTATTCATTGTGTTTTCCAGCATGAATAGTTATTACATTGTCAGGTACGCAATAAGCATCAATTAACCAGTTGTTAGGAAGGTGAAAAACACTGGATTAACACTTGTTCCTTTGGGATGGGTACAATTATTTTCTGGGTAGGATTATCACTTTTGTCACCATAAAGGTTATATATGTTTATTGTAAAAATTTCAAATTCATGGTTATATATCAGTGGTAGAGTGCTTTCCTAGAAAGGTTCAATCTCCAACACCCCTACCCTGTCCCCACAAACAACAAGAGTTCAGTTCACTTAGAAAACTATAGTGAAGGAAATAATATTCACCACTATTATATCTGGACTCACTCTTCAGTTTATATGCTATTGGTTATGTTTCATCTGTTATCTATGATATATACATACACTTTTTTTGAGGAAGTATCATACTGGGTATCCTGTTTTTCTGAGATTTTATACTTAACAAAGAACAAAAATCTTTACACATCTTTATACGAGGCTTATATCTGTTTAGTGTCTGCATAGTAGCTGCATTAGTCAGGGTTCTCTAGAGGAACAGACCCGATAGGATGGACCTATATATAGAAAGGGAGTTTATTAGAGTCGTTTATAGGTTGTGGTCCAGTTAGTCCATCAGTGGCTGTCTTTCAGTGCAAAGTCCAAGAATCCAGTAGCTGTTCAGTCCACCATGCTGGATGCCTCTGCTGGTCTTCAGTATATGCCAGAATCCTGAAGAAGTAGGGATGAACTCTCCAGTGAGAGTGGGGGCAAGCAGGCAGAGAGCAAACACTGTTTCTTCCGTGTCCTTTATACAGGCTGCCTCTTGAAGGTATGGACCAGATTAAAGGTGTATCTTCCCATCTCCAAAGATCTGGATCTAGGGCTGGTTTCCCACTTCAAATGATTTAATTAAGAAAGATCCTTCACAGGTGTGCCCATCTGCTTGGGTTTTAGTTAATTCCAGAGGTAGTTAAGTTGACAACCAGGGATAGCCATCACAGTAACATAAAATAAAACAATGAAAATTAATGATTCAGAGTTGTACATAAGTTTATATACAACTATAAGTTATGTCCCAAACATTAAGACCCCTTAATATTTTATAAATTTCAGTATGACTTCTAGAGGAATCTTAGAAGGATAATTAAGAAAAATGGGACTGGGATTGTATTGAATTTTACTCGTAACTAGTATTTTATGAGACCCTGGGCTTGATTCCTAGCAAAAGTAATTGTTCCAGAAAATTCAAATTTAAAATGTAGCACATGTATTTTAGTTTAGGATAATGAGAGGATGTTAATGAATTATAAGTGTATTCTTTGAACTTATTTACTGACTTTTAGCAGAGCTTTATCTGTCATAAAAACAGTCACTTGTTTTGAAACATATGACATGGATGTGTTACATTTATAGCTACAGATGACAACTGTACGGTAAAACTGAGTAAATGTTCAGTGTCATAAAATTGATGCAAAGTGTTTTGGGGGTTGGGTGGAATGAAGGCATAAAATAGTTGAGAAGAGAAAGGAGCCTGAATGGGCAATTTGAGAACATGTTACTCCAGTCTTATTGCTTTCCTGTTATAATCTTCAGGATTGTAATTAATGCCAACATCTTGACCCAGTTAATGGAGAATAATTTGGTACAATATAGTAAGTTAATATTTTATGAAAAATATTGGGTCAAGGAACCACTTTTTTCATCTGGGTTCTTTTACCATTGAAGGTCCTTAAAATATTGTCTGTATGCCTTTATTTTTAAATGGCTTCGTTTTTAATACTCTTTCCAATTAAATCAGTTTAGCCATCTTCAGTATAAATAATAGAATTTCTAATTTTTCAGATTGAACTCATTTGCCAGCAAAATAATATAACAGTACTGGAAGATACAATTAAAAGGCTTAAATCTGTGAGTATGTTTTTCATAAATACATGGTAAGCAGTCATTTTTTACTTAGTAAGCTACTAAAAGAATTAAATATACTCTTTACTCATGCCTTTGTGGAAAATTAAGGCATTTTTGTTTTCTAACGTTAACATCCACTGGCAGGTTTATAGGCAGCCTCACCGTAAGAGCGTGCCTTTTTGCCTCCCTTTCATCAGCGTTCCATTCTCCTAGAGCAGTGCTTCTCAGCCTTCCCAGTGCTGCGACCCTGTATCGCAGTTAATCATGCTGTGCTGACCCCCAACCATAACAGTATTTTCGTTGCTACTCCATAACTGTACTTTTACTATTCCTATGAATCATAATGTAAATATCTGTGTTTTTTGATGGTCTTAAGCGACCCTGTGAAAGAGTCATTCAACCTCAAAGAGATCATCACTACCCACAGGTTGAGAACTGCTGTCCTAGAGGTTGAGAATAACTTTTGGTTCATTTTAGCTGTTACTAGGTTTACAATGGTGCCTCCCTAATTTTTAATTTTCAATATATAACGTACAGTTTTCTATACTTTAAAATTTATGCCTTTCATAATATTTTTAAGTTTTAAATTGTTACCTAGTACCTTTGATGTTTTATTTCTCTAACTAACTCTATGAAATGAAAAGTTTTCTGTTCAAACATTTTAATCTTCCATTTAAAATACATAAAACACTATCTGGAACATGTCAACTTTTTCTCAGTATTCATAAACCAAATATAAAAACACATTTTAAAAGAAGCGTTTCTAAATATATCCATGTGAATGGGAGTTCATGGGAAGCATCTGAGTGCCCAGGACTCATTAGCATATCCATTCATTGAATGAGCGTTGCACAAGTGCAGACACTGGAGTGTGCTTTAAAAGTAGCATGTAAAGATTTCCAAACTCAGGCATTCTGTTTATAAGATTTGCTTCAGGTCTGGATGTTCAGGTCTGAAATTCCTAGTATATATACACACATCTCTATTTTCTTCTCAAAATGTTTAAGTAAATGTAATATTTTATTCAAATAAAGCGCACCAAAATGGTGAAATTGCTTTTAAAATGGTATATTGCTTTTTAAAAATAATTAATGAATAAGTTTTTAGATGTTCTATTTTTTTGATGCCAAATTTAATATTTTGAAGACTCCTTTGTATTTTTATTTAGAAAATTGTGCTATAATTTAGCTTGAAATAATTGCTTAATTTTTCCCTCCTTGACAAGATAATTTTAGAGACTGAAAAAGCACAAAATAAATCTCCTTCTAGACTTGATTCCTTTGTCAAGACTTTAGAAGCAGACAGAGATTATTATAAAACTGAAGCTCAGAATTTGAGAAAAATGATCAGAAATAGATCTAAGAGTCCAAGACGCCCATCTCCAACTTCTCGGGTAGGTTTGGAGGAAATTTTTTAATCCTTTAGTTTGTTTCTCAAGTACTGAATTTTATTCTTTGATTTATCTTATTTGGAAATAATTAATTTGATTTTTGTATAAATTACAGTATCAGAGAGGTTGGGAGACAGATCTCTTTGATGGTACAGTGAACAATAAAGTTAGTTCCTTATTCCCAGAATAAGTTGTGGTTGGGAGATAATTAGACCAATTTAGTGCAATTTGAGATAAAGCTGTAAAAGAGGTAATTTTGTTGTTGATATTATTTTCTCTTATTCTGTAGTCAGGCTTCCTTAAGTAGAGATTGTGCACTGCCACTACCGTAGTGTTTCACTAGGAGCATAAGTGAAAGGGGTCCAAGCCAGGAGTGCTGATGCACACCTTTATTCTCAGCGCTTGGGAGGCAGAGGCAGGAGGATCAGGAATTTAAGGCTAGTCCTGGCTTCATAGTGAGTTCAAGGCCAGCTTCGACCACATTAGACTGTCTTAAAAAAAAAAAAAAAGAAAAAGAAAAAGAAAGAAAGAAATAAAACAAGAAGAAATTCAGATATCTTAAATAATAATTCTAGGGTGCAAACTGTGATGTAGAGCTTTTGAAGTCAACAACAAGAGACCGTGAAGAACTGAAATGTATGCTGGAAAAATATGAACGTCATTTGGCAGAAATCCAGGGCAATGTCAAGGTTCTTACATCTGAGAGAGACAAGACCTTCCTTCTTTATGAGCAGGTAAGCGTGTAAGTACAAAGATTGTATAAGTAATAGTAGTCACTTTTAGAGCTTTGCAATTCTTCTGTAAGTTTTATGACCCTAATTAAACATGTCAATCAAATTAATCTAACACTTGGAAATTACCTTTTTTCCTAAGAAACTCTTTTTTCCTTTTCTTTCATTATGGTACTGGGACTTGTACATTCTAGGCAAGTACTCTACCACTAAGCTATATCCACAGCTCTGTTCTCAAGATATTCATAATGAAAGGTATCATATTTCTAGTAAAAAAAAAGTACGAGCACACCTATATGTCATCCTTATATCTCATAAAAGAGTATATACATGCATAAAAAGTTTAATTTTTGGAATAAGAAATGAGGTCAGGGCTGAAGTTGTAGCTCACTGATGGAGTGCTTGCTAGCATGCACAGACCCTAGGTTTTGATCCTTAACATGTCACAAAACAATAAAAGTGAAACATATTAATGACAAAAACCATATCATTTGAGACTCTCATTTCTCTTTATTTATGTTCAAGATAAAAGCCTGTAGAATCTGGTGGGGGGAAGGTTCAGGAAGGTGGAATAAGATGGTATACATTCAGATAGTAGCTGCTACCTGGCAGCAAGACATTTGGAACTGGATTAGGGAGAGAGGCAGGTACTGAATATGCAGCTTTAGAAGTCATCTACTTAGAGGTGAGTCTTGAGCCTTCAGAATGAATGAGTTCTGTAAATGAGAAGGCATTTACAGAGCAGAGAAGTCAAGATATAATCTTCAAGAGGCAGGGAAGAACCTTTGAAAGATAGAGAACAAGGACACAAAGGGAGAACAGGGGCCTAAGAAGAAAGGTCCTGGACCAGTGTGGATGCTGCCAGAAAATTATGGGGAACAGGAACTAAGAAAAGTTCGTTCCAGTTGGTGAGCTCCTCAGCTCAGGTTTTGCAGTGTTGGTGGCTAAAGGGAGAGGGGCGGGTTACCCTGGGGCGACTGTGTGAATGTAATTGGCAGTGTGTAGAGATTGCCCTTAAAAAAAAAAAGCCTGACAAAGGAGAGAAGACAGCATGGTAGATGGGCGTAGTAGGGCGAGATGACAGATGGTCAAGCTAAGGGAAAACTATACATGATGAAGGTGAGGGGGGCTTGCTGGGAACGAGAGTAGAAAGAGCCGGGGAAGGGACACTACACAGCATGAGAGACTATAGTTATCATTGAGTTAGGAAGATTTTAGAAAACACTGAGAAATGTGGTGAAGGCTAAGCTGTAGGTATTGAGAAACTGTATCTTTTTCTGAACCTGGCAGACCCCTGAGTAGATAATGATCAAAACTGTGAGTCAGGAAGCAAAGTGGGATATGAAATCATTTGTAGATGTGCAACAGGTCTGGGGCCTCAGTACTGTTTAACAAGTGTTCAGAGACTATGTTGGGCTGTGAGTAAGGACTGTTGGAACTTTCTGTCAGAGTAAATGTAGCCAAGACAATAGCATATATAGAGATATAGCAAATATAGAGAAAGATAAGCACTGTGGAATTTTCATTAGACAAGTATTCCACCTGAGCTGTGCTGAATTCAAATTTATATCTCAAAGTGGGCAAGTGGAATATATCAAATCTATTTCTTAGCTAGACACACACACACACACACACACAAATGCATACATACATATAGATTTGCTTGCACTTATTTGTGAACTCTTGAAAATAAAAGCTCTGCCATTTCTTTGTTTTATTGCTGCTTACATATTATTTCAGGTTTCTATTTTACCTGACTGGATATAAGATACTGCACGTGTCATTTAAAGTATTCTTTTTTAAATTCTGTGTATTTTTTATCATAGGCACAGGAAGAAATTGCTCGACTTCGAAGAGAAATGATGAAAAGCTGTAAGTCTCCTAAATCAACTACAGCACATGCTATTCTTCGTCGGGTAGAGACGGAAAGAGATGTAGCCTTCACTGACTTACGAAGAATGACCACAGAGCGAGACAGTCTGAGAGAAAGGCTAAAGGTGTGCAATGAGTTTGTCTGTTTCACAGGCACAGCACAAGTGCGGTGACACTGAAAGTCCTTTGTTGTGCTTTGTGTTTTATACAGATTGCTCAGGAGACAGCATTTAATGAGAAGGCTCACTTGGAACAAAGGATAGAGGAGCTGGAGTGTACAGTTCATAACGTAAAACAAAACCTCTTTGGCTCTACTCCCCATAGTTTCCCCTTTTCTCTTTTGCTGTCTTAGCAAGAATTCTCTTATTTTTCTAAGGTTGTGTTTGTAGTCCTAAAATACTTACAGTGGTGTGTATGATGTGTTATTTTCATAATCCTATGTTACCTTTTCATTTAGTTATTTCCCTCTAGAAACATGAGTGAGGCTTTTTATTTTTGTTGTGTTTGGTTGCAAAGCATTTTTTGTTTTTATTGCTAGAATGTAGTCTCAGGATTTTTAATTCATTAATTGCCTCTTATTTTGGGAGGGTGGGGGGTACAAGGTCTCACTGTGTAGCCCAGGTTGGCTCTGAATCCGTGATTCTGCTGCTCCAGCCTCCTAAGTGTTGGCATTATGTACCACTACACTTGTCTAAAATTTCAGTTTTTCTCATCTCCCTGTTCTGTTAAAGATAATCTTGCCAAATATGAGTATATCAAGCATTCGAGATGCTCCAGATACATGTTAGCAGTGTTCCAGGTACATAAACAGTTAAGGTTTGAGTGTACAGATAAATACTTCATTTGAGGTATTTTGTTATAATAAGTAAAAAACAGACAAGAGAAAAAGGATTTTATTTTCATAATCCTACTCTATATGTAATGTATTAATCTTGGATAACAAAATATTTTTGCAAATTTAGTATGTAAATAGTCCAATTGAACCAGATTGAGAAAGGTAGACTGATAATACTGAGATAGACGGGCCTTGTAGAAAAGCTATGCAGTGACTTGCTGTTATTCCTGTTCTATAATACTTTATCTAGAAAGCCTTCTACAGTGTTCCAGTCTGCCCTGCTTGATTGTCTAGTTGTGCAGATTCTGCCATAAGCTGCAGTTTGTAGGAGTCTGTCTCCGCTGCTAAGACCAATGAGGCTACTTAGTGATCCTAGTTAACTTTGCCATTCTGCTTGTGTAGCTTGATGATGAACGCATGGAACAAATGTCAAATATGACTTTGATGAAGGAAACCATAACCACTGTGGAAAAAGAAATGAAATCATTAGCAAGAAAGGCAATGGATACCGAAAGTGAACTTGGCAGACAAAAAGCAGAGAATAATTCCTTGAGGTAAAAACTACATTGCCGTTAGACAACCAACAGTTTGCTGTACTTAATTGCTCTGCTTTATAGTACATTTAATAATGAAAATTTAATTATCTGTTATCTTCAGTTTATGAAAAGAACTCATAGGAAGCAGTTGTAGAAACCTCAGCAGCATGTAATGGTGCCCCCCAAATCACTCAGCCAGGAAACAAGCTTATACTCATTTTAACCTTAAGTTTGCAACACGTCAAGTTTAATCAAGCAGTTTTTATACAGCCCTCTGAGAACTGAGGCATTGAACCTCAGTATTTTATTGTTTAATTTACTTTTATAACTTTGAGTTCTATTCTGAGGTCTGAACAATTTAACAAAGCCCATACTTGAAAACTTAGGGAAAGGAGGGTTTCCAGCATAGGAGTAAATTGATTGGCTCTTCCATTTCAATGGTATAGTGGCAGAGGCCACTAAAGCAGTGTGTGGGCAGGAAGAAACCTCTGCATTTGAGGTTCTCCATTACTGTTTGTTGATGTGAAACAAAGCTACTCAAGTTTTAGTAGAGTTGAATTTCTCTTTATCTATAAACATGAAAAATGTTAGTTGGTGTGAATGTGAAACATTATTATCTAATCTACAGATGATAATTGGGCCACATATGGGTTCCCAGACTCTCCCCTTCATCTTCCTAGGACTAGTGGTGCAGAGTTGGAATCACTTGTCAGGACAGATAATTACTCAAACTCCCTTCTTTTCCTTAGAAAACTTTCTTCCTTATAAGATTACTATAAACGCACACACACACACACACACACACACACACACACACACACACACACACAAATGAAAGTAATACCAAAACAAAAAAACAAGAAAGCAAACCTGGGGAGGTAAAAATAGGTAATAAAAGGTTAAAATCACCTATAACTCTATGACCCATGGAAAAAGATTAGTGTAGAACTGCTTCCAGCAAGAAATCAGTCCATGTGTAGCATGGAAGTGTCCTGTGTAACTGAGTTCAGCCTGTGGCCTTTCTATCTGGCCTTTTCAATTTTGTCACATAGAATTTCTGTGTTGTTAGAAAACATTTGTCTTAGAAAACGTTTTAGTGTCTTATAATATTCTAGTGGAGAGATGTATAATAATCTGGAGTAGAGTGGGTGTGTTTTGTTCCTTTTGATGTAGGATCTTGCTGTGTGGTTCTGCTTTGCAGTACCCTCCTTCTGTAGGGTAGCATTGTGCACCCTCCCAGCAGTTTTAGGGGATTTTTTTTCTGATGTATGCTGATTTGGAAACTTTTATTGATGTATAAGTGAAACATCTACACTAAAATGTCAATATTTTATATATTAAGGTTGGAAAATTTTGACCTTTAAAACCATTACCACAGTCAAGATTCTGGCCTTATTCTGCATTTCTAAGTCTCCTCTTGCCCCTCTGTAATTTCCCACACATGCTGCTGATTCCTAGTTGACCATTGATTTTTATTTCAGGCATAGAGGTATTTGGATTGTCTAAACATTTAAACCAATGAAATTGTATTGTATATGTTGTTAATCAGGCTCCTTTCCTTCAGCGTAGTTACTTTGAGGTTTGGTCTTCATGTATTCATGTTGTGTGTAATTTATACTCTTTGACTGCTGACTTGTATTCTTTGTGTGGGTGTGCACATTGATAGTTGCACTGTTTCCACTTTGGGGCTATCATAAATAAAGCCACTAAGCTCTTCCCTATATAAGTCTTTGTGTGGACATATGTTTTTATTTCTTGGATCAATATCTAGGAATAAATGCCTGAGTCATATGATGCATTTTCCTTTCTGGGAAACCATTAAAGTCTTTTTTCAGTGTGGCTGTAGTACTGTGCATGTACTCCAGCAGTGTTGAGTTTTTCAGTATTTACATATCCTCACTGACATTTGGTATGCAGCTCATTTTTAACACCAGCTATTATTTTGTTGTATAGTTCTATTTTAAAGTTTTACAAAGACTTTTTAAGCTTTATTGTAGAATAATTGTTGACTAAAATTATACTTAAAGAATACAGTATAATGTTTTTGATACATAGACATTGTGAAACGATACTTTGGTGAACTTAGCTGATGTATTATATCACTGCTTCACAGTTCCTGTTTATGCAGGTAAGTACTTAATGTTGGCGTTTTGGCAATTCTCTTCTGGCTCTTTGTTCCTTGTTGTCTTTGTGAGTTAGTGGTTTTCTATATTGAGGCTACAATTCCATTATCTTTTGTGTATTACGTTTGGTTCTTTGTGGTTATCATGAGGTTTACTACCACATTTTATAGTTCTGGCAGTCTTTTAAACTGATAACAATATCATTGACATGGAAGTGCAGATATCTATTGGAGATAAATATACTTCAGGTGCATATGCATGTAAGTGGCTTTGTTATATCATTTTGGTAGCTGTATCTTTCAGTGTTTGAAGCACTTAACAAAAATAGTATACTCATAGATCAGTGCCTTGCTCAGCCATCTTCAGAGAAACTTCCTCCTGCAGCAGATGGGAACAAATACAGAAACCCACAGCCAGACATTATGTAGAAAGTGAGAGAGACCTTGGAGCACTCAGCCCTAAATGGATGTCTCCATCAAACTTCCCCTCAGAGCTCAGGGAACCCCAAGAAGAGGAGGTGGAGAGAATTTAAGAGCCAGAGGGGATGGAGGACACCAAAGAAAACAAGGCCCTCTAAACCAACATAAGCAAAGCTCATATGAACGCAACAGAGACTGAAGCAGCATGCACAGGGCCTGCATGGATCTGTACCAGGTCCTCTGTGTGTATATTATGGCTTCTGGTTTAGTCTTTTTATGGGATTCCTGAGTGTGTGAATCAGTGGGTCTCTGATTCTTGTGCCTTCTCTTGGGCTTTTTTCCTTCTGTTGGTTTGCCTTGTCCAACTTTGATGTGATAGTTTTTGTTTTATCTTATATTTTATTTTGTCATATTTTTAATATTATCTCTTAGAAGCCTGTTATTTTCTAATGAGAGACAAAAAGAGAGTGGGTCTGGATGGGGAGGGAAGGGGGGAACTGGGAAAAGTAGAGGGAAGAGTTCAAAAACAAGAAATAAAAAAATACAAAATTAATACATACATAAAATAAAATGGTAGCTCTTCTTATCAGGGTGAAGTGGTATTGCAGTTTTGATCTGCAGAGTTCCTATCTCGATGTTTATATTCTCCCCAGAAGTGGGGAGTTTTAGTCAGTGTTTCTTGAGTGTTTGCCTCTTCTCTCACCCCTGCAGAGTGAATGTTAGTTCTCCGGAGGGGCCTGCAGCCCTCCATTCCTCCTCACTTTTTTCTTCTCTAACAGTAGTTCTAAATGCCTGTCTTTGAGTTCACTGTTAATTTCTTCTGACTTGTCACATTGGCTGCTAGTGCTGTTTCATTTTTAATCTTGATTATTTCTATTTTTAAGCCCAGAATTTCTGTTGGGTTCCTGTTAATAATTTTTTTTTTTTTGGTTTTTCGAGACAGGGTTTCTCTGTGTAGCTTTGCGCTTTTCCTGGAGCTCACTTGGTAGCCCAGGCTGGCCTCAAACTCACAGAGATCCACCTGCCTCTGCCTCCCGAGTGCTGGGATTAAAGTCGTGCGCCACCAACGCCCGGCTTCCTGTTAATAATTTTAATCCATCTGTTGAATATTTTATTTGTACATTATTTTCCTAATTTCATTAACATGTCTATTTATGTTCTCTTATAACTTGATTAACTGCCTTAATCATTTATTTTAAAATTTTGGTCATACACCTAGATTTATATTTTCTGAGGGATTGTATCAAGTTTCTGTGGCTTTTCATGGTTCTTGCTTTATGTTGATGGCTGTATATCTGACAGCCAAGGTTCAATAGGGAAGCATCTTCATATAGTGATGGGTCCAGTATCCAGTTCACACTCTGGTGAAGGCTCAGCAGCTCAATCTCCATGCAGTGTGTCAGTTGGGGTCGGTGTCAGCACAGCCTGTGAGTGTCCTCAGCAGCCATGGCTGTGGGTGTCTGAGGGATGGTGAGGGCTGTTTCAGTTCTGTTTGGTTTCCTTTTTCTCCAAGGAGAGAATATGAATGAGAGCATCTGTCTTGACTCTAGTGCAGTATATGAGGACACTCATGGACTAGCCCCAGAGCCCAGGTCTAGAGCATCACTGTGCTTGGGCGCTTTCGCTCCAGGAATGGATTCACGGATGTTTGCTGCAGCAATGGTAGTGATCTTTGTGGGGTGGCTGGGGGACCTGGTGTAGACGTCAGACATGTGGAGTGACAGTGACTCTAGAACTCAGGGCATCAGCTAGCTCACTTTGGTGGTATACAAGATGTCTGGGCTGGGGGTTTGTGGAGCAGTGGTAGAGCTGTAGCACACAGTGTAGGCATGTGCACAGCACATGGTGACAGGCCCAGGGCAGTGTTAGCCTGTGCAAGTGCTGTTTCTAGTGCCAGAGCTGCAAGCATGCCCAGATCACTTACGGCTCTGTGATTTGGAGCACATGTGGATTTTGGAGGAGTGGTCACAGTCCAAGAGCAGCAGCACAACAGTGGCTCCTTTTCGAGGGTAAGGCCAAAGCAGCTTCTCCCCAGTTAGCTGGCCTGTGGTGGGATTGATGGTGGTTACCTTCATGGGGAAAGTTGCCAGTGTCTCATGCAGAGTAGGTCACAGGGCACCAAGGTAGCAGCCACCAGAAGGCCAATACTTGTTCTTGTTACCTCCAGATGTCCTAGGCATGCTGTTCTTCCCCAGAAACCCTTCCAAACAGTCACTTTCGTGTGTGTGTGTGTGTGTGTGTGTGTGTGTGTGTGTGTGTGTCTGTTAGAAAGATGAAGAAGGTTGGGATCTTCTCTGCCATGTTGCCTTTGTTTTTGTTTTTGTTTTGTTTTCTGCCTCCTTCTGAATTCTGGGATCATAGACCTAGGCCATCACCCTGACCTGCCATGTTGTTAAAAGTAAATTTTTTTTTTATTTTGAGAATGAAACTCTATACTGGTTACCTTAGTTTGCTTTCTATTGCTGTAATAAACACC